ATTGCAACTTACAACTTCCTGCCTCTAGAAGAGCGCTACTGTGTGTGTTTAACCCTCTGTATAACCTGTCTGCGGCGACAGTGCTATACAGGTGATTATCTCAACCATCATAGTGTTATTGCTGATATTGCAGAGTTTCCTCTTTCTCTGTACAAAAAGGAGGTGGTGGCAGTGTGAAGGGTTAATTGCGTAATTAACCTGACCCAGTAACAATCGCACCCAGGCTGCCAGTACATCGATTGGTGGTCCAGTGAGCTGGAAAATCGTTGTGCAGGGTGCACCTGGGCTTGGCATTGTTACGCATGTGACATCACGGTTTTAGAATGGCTAGTCCTTTGGTCATGAGTTTGGTGAGAAGGGCTGGGGTCTGACGCGCGATTGCCACATAACGGTGTGAAAATCGGCCGATTTTAGACCTGTCTATGGCCTGCATATGTCTCTTCTGTATTAAAGTCGTGTACCTGCCTGTACACCCTGTACGCTGACCTGTGCATGTGCAGCTCAGTGTATCATGTTGGCAATGCTGAGATTAAAAGTTCCTGGGGGGGAAGGGGGTCAATTTTTCATAATTTTTTTTTTTATTCTGCTTTAGCCGTGGTTCACATCTGTGCGGGTGGTGCCACTGTGGGACCTGTACAAATACCTGCAGCCGCACCACCCACACAGAGGAATGCGGGACCCTGTATTCTCTGATCCTCGACCTTCTACTGTCCTCAGTCCATCCGCTGATAGAACAGAGTCTTGGGGGCAAGTTGCACATGCTCAGTTTGGTGTGTATTGCTAGATATGTTTTTTTTTTTCTTGGGAGAGTGCATGTGATCAGGACAGGGCCAATCAGCACTGTCCAGACAGAGGCCAGGGGTTCTGCATCCTCCTAGAGCAAAATGAAGACTCCTCCTACAAGCTTCAACCAGTGCTCTGCTGGACACTGATATAAGGGCTCCTTCACATTTGACTGTATTTCTAACTCTTGCCAAACACCCCTATAGCGTTTGACAGGCGTTAGACAGGTGTTTGGGAAGCGTTTTTATTGCTCCTCAAATGCTCCCCAAACAACCTATGCACGGTTTTTAGGCGTTTGCCAAGTGTTAAAACCGCACCACAAACGCCTATAATGAAGTTAATGGTATTAACGCTCCGCAACTGCCTCGCAACTACCTCACAACCGCGTCGCAAACACCTGCCAGGCGTTTGAGGAGTGGCACCGTAGACTTGAATGGGAGGCTTCAACTCCTGCTGCCTTGACAAGAGGCATCAGTTTTTTCCGCGACGCTAATGCTTCAGTGTGAACTGCACTGTGAGCTGCCATGTGCAGAATTTTCATAGGTGTTTGAGAAGCGTTAAAAACGCTTTCCAAATGCCTGTCTGACAGCTGCTGACAAAGCTAGTGTGAAAGTAGCCTAAGTCACAAGACTGCTCTAACTGCTGATGAAAAAAGGTATTTAGCAGTTTATATGTAGTAAAATAATTGCATTTCCATGTTCTGTGTACTGTGGGAGACCAGATATAGTGAATGCAGGGTCCTGGGTTTAGTAACACTTTAATTCTAATGGCATGCCCCCCGCACTAGGGGCTTCTTCCCTGGGCACAGGAGTCTATTCAAATGAATGGGCTCTCGTGTCCATGCAAATCGTGGCCCGCACAGGTGTGAACCAGGGGTTAGGGCTCATTCACATGTGCAGCAGACACTGCTGCTTGCATCAATTTTCAGAGGTATGTGACAGGCAGTGAGGAGGTGATATGTTGCCTCCTCACTGCTGATGTAACCCTTTAAATGTTGCACTACTGTTAAATTTCACACGGTTGCGGAGTGGCCCTATTGAGCTGCATTAGTGGCATTCGGTGGCACCGCCCTCTGAAGGTGACATAGTTTTGTGGTGGCTCTGTGTGTGGTGTTTAGCAGGCAGTTGTGGCTCTACTGCCTAATTTTACTGCCCACCTGTGTGAACCAGCCCTTGAAGAACATATTAGGGTAAATCATATCATTTGTTAGAACTGTTATACTATGTAGCAGTCACTGAAGGACAGGTAAGCTCATTCATTACTATACTGTTCTCCATGACTTCCATCACCTCTCCTCCCTCGCCTGATACTCCAATGATCAGCCGGAGACGCACACAGCGCCCCTCTGTGGACCATACGACGAATAAGTCAGCCATTTTCTTGGAGACCACTATAGCCTACCAAGGGAACTATAGGAAAATGGCTCCTGTACTACGGACGGAAAATAAAGCAGTGCCTAACCCTTGGAAGCACGGCTAGGCTGTGTTGCTGGAAGGCAATGAGTACAGTAATGAGGGTGCAGGAGTGAGCAATACGTGCAGATCTTGTGGTAGAAAGGCCGGTAAGTGCTCACAGGTTTTAGATCGGTGGTCCCAATGATCGTGGTTGGAGGAAGGGGGGGATAGAAATATGTTCATGCTGCATTTTGTTTTAGTCTGCCATGTATGTCCATCTGAAATCATCGATCACAAGCAGAGAGGATGCCATTACTATTATTTATTTATTTTAATATTGATTATTCTCTGATCTGTCAAAGTGACAGAGGGGTTGATTTACTAAAACTGGAGAATGCAAAATCTGGTACAGCTTTGCACTTGCAGCGAATCGCCTGCTAACCTCAGCTTGTTCATTTAAGCTATGGCAATAAAACCTGGAAGCTTTTTTTATTCAGAGCTGCTCCAGATTTAGTAAATCAACCCGACAATTTATGATTGATGGGCTTGAAGGCATAGTCCACCTTTTGTAAAAATTTAATAAATGCACCCTTTAATACAGAAAACCACATGCATTTATGAATTGTTTGACTGCAGAGCATTGCCACCTGCGATCAGCACATTCTGGGTGCTCTGCGCAGGTTTCCGGCATTGTTTACATCTCAGCCCTAGATCTCTATGGAGGTGCACACAGCTTCTGTTCTGGAGGAAGTGATCCACGGACTACAATGCTGAATGTGGATCTGAGTCCCTCTGCTGCCATGACTGGTGCAGTTTGAGGATGCAGCATCTGGAAATGTGACCATGGTTCATATAATGCCCTCAGGCCAAGGCAGCCCATACTTTTCTTTTTTTTTTTTCATTCAACCAGAACGAATTATATGATCGATATCTCCTATCCACACATCCATGTGGCAGGAGAAATCCTCCCGGTGTGCTATTGTGTTCTGACAGCAGGGAGACTTCCCCCTCTGTCACAATACAATGGTCAGTGCTGCCATTTATAGCCAGCGGTACTGATCAATTGGCAAAAACACAACAAGCTGGTTGTACAGAAGTCAATTGGTAGATCAACTTCTGGACAATCAGGGTGCCCATACATGGGTAGAAATTTGTCTGGCCCTTGCTGAATAGGCTAGATTTCAACCCATGTATGGCCAGCTTAAAGTGAGTGATTGTAAATATGCTTTTTTTTTTTTTTTTTTTATTGAAGCTATACTAAAATGAAAAAAAAACTTTGATCCCCAGGCGGTTTATGTCATAATGTGCTAGTATGCACCTCATTTTAGCACATTATGACAGACTTACCTGAAACGAAGTCCTCCAGTAGCGCACTGTTGGCGCTTCCATCTTCACCTGGTCTTTCTTCCAAGTACGTGGGCTCCAGCTGTTCGTAAGGTCACATCACAGTGCTCTCAATGGACGCCATACTCCAGTATGCCATTTTTTCAGAGCACAGTGCACATGCGCCAGTGAAGTCACTGGTCTCTACAAATGTGAATATCTCAAATACCATGGTACTTGTTTAGGAGATATTCACTGTACTTACAGGTAAGCTGTGTTGTAGGCTTATAGGTGCAGTTCACAATGTGAACTATTCTACTGCTTTAAAATGACAAACCTGATATACTTAGCTGCTTTGTACTCTATGCATAAAGGTAAAAAACCTTCAGTGTGCAGTTCCCCCCTCAGTCTCTTCCTCCCCCCCCCCCCCCATACTCACCTGAGCTCAAGCTTGATCCAGCAATGTGCACTCCTGGGTCTTTTCCTCCTCACTAGCTGAGCCATTGGCTCCCGCTGCTGTCATTCACAGCCAGTGAGGAGGGGCAGAGCAGTGCAGTGCTCTCTGTGTCTCAGACACACAGAGGTGGCTCGGGAGTGAGCATATATGAGTGCCCCCAGAGCAAACAGCTTGTTCTAGCAGCACTCAGCAGGGGTGGGTAGGAGCACCAGTGGTCGACCCGAGGGGAGGAGGATCGGGGCTGCTCTGTATATCATGCTTTTTATTTTAAAAATAAACAATCTGAACCTTTACAAACACTTTAAAGTTGTTTATACTTTCCAGATGTCTTCTAAACGAAAAGCTAAATGCAGGAGTGCCAGTGTGAATGAGGCCTGAGCTTTTAAATGAAGGTTGATGTTGCTTACTTCTTTTTAAAGTGCTAGTTGCCTGGCTGTCATTCTGATCCATTGGATCCAATACTAAATGTACCTGTAGTAGTAGTAAGCCTTTTTTTTGCGGTTGAATGCTGCTTTGATCATGGGAAATGGTCGATTGCAAAGCCAACACTGGGATTGTTGATCTTTTGGGTTTCCTACATCTCTCACTGCTTTAGCCTGCTGATCTCCATGTCATTACTGTCTGCTGTGGTGATGTGAAGGTCACCAGGAGGAACCAGTAACATCTGTGGGGGATCCAGGAGATTGATACTCCTGAAAGTGTTGTTTTTTTTTTTTTAGTAGGCTTTTTCTCAAGATTGGTGTGGGGGACTTGGTACACTGGCTTGAATAACTTTTTCTATAACGACTGGGTCACTTCATGTCCTCTGCAGACAGAGGAAGATGCAGGATTTACTATATCTGTGTATAGGATTATCTCAAAGTAGGCATCCTGGGAGCCCTAGTTTAATATCCATTAACTTGCATTTGAAAGAGCAAAAACCTGTGAGGTAGGTTGTAGGCATACAATGGAATGCCAACATTTTGGGAGTGCAATGGGGGTTTTTTTTTTTTTGTAAAAACAATTTTATGTTTTCTTAAGCTGCATTTATTTTTGTAGGTACAATGAGTGGCGGTCTTGCTCCCAGTAAAAGTACTGTCTATGTATCTAATTTCCCATTCTCACTCACCAACAATGATCTTCACAGGGTAAGTTTACAACTTGTGCTTGTGTGGTATCTCACTGGGGTTAAAAGCAAATGTATCACCAGATTTTCCATTTTTTTTTCCAGATATTTTCAAAGTATGGACAAGTAGTAAAGTAAGTATTCTATTAGTATATAAACTGTGCAAACAGAGGGAACTGTCAGTGTCCAATTGCATTTTTTTTAAAGGTGGACAATAGCATTAAACTCTTAAGAATAATGGTGAAACACAACTTGAGGTTAAAGGGGATATGAGCCCCACATTGTTTATGTAGACTTCTCATAGGTTATAGATCCTGGAGCTGAATCTCATTCTTGAGACAAGACTAAGGCAGAGTTTTTTTTTTTCTCTTTATGCAACCAATTAATCCTCCCTGCTGAGCTATTATATTCTGACAGTGGGGAGACTTCTTTGCTTTCAGAATACACTGATCAATGCTGCCTGCTATAGCTGGTGGCACTGATGGAGTGGGGAAAATCCAACTTCTTGGCCATACATGGATCGAAATTCGGCCGGTTCCGTAGGGAATTTCAACCCATGTATGACAATCTTAAAGCAGAGCTCCAGTCAAAATGTAAAAAAATTAAAAGTCAGCAGCTACAAAATCTGTAGCTGCTGACTTTTAAAAAAACATATACTCACATGTCCTCGCCACAACTGGTCTCACCAGCCGTTCTCTCTTTCCCGGCATCAAGTATCTTAGGTGTGGGAAAGCTGTCACAGTCGGGTGACCACTGTGCATACCCAATTAGCGCAGCACCTTGTGAATGGTCCTGTACTCTTCTGGGATCTGTCACATATCTCAGAAGACTACGGGGGGGGGGGGGGGGGGGGGGGGGTTACAACTTCCGGTTCCGATCGCAGACATGGGAGCAGTTGCCTTTCAAAATCGGGTACCCACTCCTCAAAGCAGCCAATCCTTAACAGGGATGAGGCCTTAAGGTGAAACTTCCCCTTTTGAGTGAAGCTTCGCTTTAAGTTTGAAGAATGAAGCTGCTGCTTCAAAATGCTTCATCAGTCTTGCTTTTTTTATTTCTTTAAGTTTTCTAAAAATGTTACATGTCAGAAGGGACCAAAACAAGGTGCATAACGTACAACATAGGATATACAGCAATCACAAAACATGTCAAATCATGGGGAAGGTAGAGTGGATGAACAAATGTTACTGCGCTTGGGTACATAAGGGAGGAAAGCAAGTAAAGAGGCAAACATAATTGGCAGGGCGAGAGTATATGCCCTCAGGTTATAGAAAGAGGGGACCATTCTTTTTTTTTTTTTTTTTGTATAGGCTCTTGTGAAGTGTATATGCAGAGCATTTCGCTCAACCTCATGCCTATGGTATCAGAAGATATTCACAGGCCAACAATTCTCAGGGGAGATTTGTTCAATTACCATTGCTCCTTTCAAGATAAGCTGGTGCCCCTGCTTGCCTGCTTCTCATCTTTTGTCAGCATTTTCACTTAGGTATATTGGGGTGACCCAAGCATGCATGTTCATTAAATAGGGTTCAGAAAAACTGTGTGAGAGTGCCATGTTTTAGAGATCGGGTTTGCAAAAGTCAAACTGTGCCTTGCCTCTATGTCTAACAATTTTCTCCTAATTTGTAATGCAAGAATTTCTGTGTTTTTTTTTTTTTTTTTTTTTTTTCTGCATCCACTAGAGTCACCATTTTGAAAGAAAAAGAAACCCGAAGAAGTAAAGGAGTTGCATTTGTTTTATTTTTAGATAAGGAAAGTGCACAAAACTGTGCTAGGGCATTAAACAATAAACAGGTATATTTCTAGATAATATTGTCATATACAAATGCTGATTGTCTTGCCTAGATCTAGACTGTAAATATATACTTGTCCTGCAGCTTTTTGGCAGAGTACTGAAAGCAAGCATTGCAATAGACAATGGCAGAGCAGCAGAGTTCATCCGGAGGCGAAATTACACTGACAAGTCCAGGTGTTATGAATGTGGGGTAAGTAAAATCTGAACATTATTGTATATTAAATCAGTGCTTTCACTTAGAAAATTTGTATTCACTGCTTTGAATGTCTTTACAGTAGTAATGTTTTATATACTGACTTTATCTTTTATTTGTACTAAAGGATACAGGTCACTTGAGCTATGCTTGCCCCAAAAATATGCTAGGTGATCGTGAGCCTCCACAGAAGAAGGAAAAGAAGAAGAGGAAGAAAGTGGTTGAAGTAGAAGAACTGTATGTATTTTCATGTCTTTTGACTAAATGTACTATGAATATTATTAAATGGCATACATTTTACTGAAGAAACACATTACATTTCAGACCTGAAGAGGATCAGAGTGAGGATGAAGGTGAAGATCCAGCTCTTGACAGCCTTAGTCAAGCGATAGCTTTCCAGGTACATGTTGTTATTATCATTATTATTATTATACAGGATTTATATAGCGCCAACATAGCCCTTTACAACATGAGGGCAGACAGTACAATTACAATGCAATTCAATACAGGAGGAATCAGAGGGCCCTGCTCTTAGCGCAAGTAATACAAAATACAATAGGCTAGCAATGTAACAAAAGAAGTGTAGTTTGAGGATTAGGATTGCAAGGCGCAGCACATGGTGTGATTATTGAGTTTACTATTTGAGAGTGATATCTGGTATACTTATGCATTCTCACTGTACAAAAGAGTTGATTCTGGAAAAGTTCTGGCAACCAGAATGGCTTCTGCTGATATGAATATCATGCCCTTAAGTATCACCAGGCCTGGGATAACCATCTAGTTATATCACTGTTAAGGCAGGTGTAGTGTTTAATCAATACTGCTATAAAACTGCTGTGCTTTACAGTGAGTGAGTATAGTGGTAGATATTAGTTGTACCGCTCCCCATTACAGACCTGGATGACATTACTTTTGCATGTGCTCTCTGTCAAGAAACTTTTGGTCCGCATCATTTCCGATTATGCAAAGCTGCTAGAGTGAGAGGAAGAGAACTAACTATAGGTCTGCTGTATGGAGGGGCGGGGGGGGGGACTGTGTATTAAAGCCTTATTGTTTGGACTCGGGGCTTAAGCTTGGAACATACAGGCCAGAAATTGGTCGAAAAGGGTCCGTTTGGCAGCAACTGGCCAACTTTCAGCTCGTGTGTACAGCTGTCTGTTTTTGTGGGCATGCTGGAAAACCAGCATCTGACAGGCATCCGATCAGCTCTTGCAGCCAATGGCTGCGAGCGCTGATCATTGTTTTCTGATGGGAGGGGTAATCCCCTGTCAAAACACAAAGGCACAGCGGGGAATATCGCTCAGAACTTAGTGGGTACCCAGCTTTAGAGTTTGGGAAGAATTGTCCAATGCCATGAGAGTGCATGAGGAAGATAAAATGTGACATTTTGTTCTCTTTTCACTTTAAGTTTGCTTTAATAATAGATAAAAATATTCTAAAAGGTATCAACATTGCATCCCAAGGAAGTAAAATAATGAGCTACTCTCATGTATTACTTTTTACTCTTTTGTGTACAAGATGAATAAAAAAACCTAATGAGCAGATTTTACCTGTACTACAAATTTTAAAAATATCAGTTTGACCACTTGCCTACCATGCACTTTCACCTCCTTCCTGTCCAGGACAATTTTCAGCTTTCAGCGCCGTCTCACTTTGCATGACAATTGTGTGCTTATGCAACACTGTACCCAAACAAAATTTGTATAATTTTTTTTTTCTAGACAAATAGAACTTTCTTTTGGTGGTATTTAATCACTACTAGGTTTTTTATTTTTTGCTAAACGAAAAAAGACCAACATTTTGAAGAAAAAAAAAAAAGGTTTTCCTTAGTTTCTGTTATAAAGTTTTGTCAGTAAGTGATTTCTCTCCTTCACTGATGTGCAGATAGACAGGACAGATGAGGAGACCCTGATAGGTGGCACTGATGGGGTTACACTAATAATCAGGGCACTGATTATCAGTGTAGTTATCCCCTGTGTAAATTGCCACTTTCTGGCTGTCCTCTTACTCTGTCAGCATGAGGAGAGGGCTGCCAATAACCGGCATTTCCTGTTTATGCTGTAATTGGACACAGCTGGTCACATGGAAAAGGGCTGCTCTGATTGGCCCTTTACTGCCCAGTGCACACCCCAGGGGGGGGACGGGGGCGTGTGTGGTTCTGGAAGAACACCCTCTCAGAACTTAGCCAACTGTGCTGTAGCTGTCTTTTGGCTATAGCGCGGTCGGCAAGTAGTCAAAACATTTTGGACCAACAATGGCCCTACAATATCAAACGTTAATTCATATTACAGATACATATTGCCAAAAGTATTGGGACACCCCTCCAAATCATTGGATTCAGGTGTTCCAATCAAAACCATGGCCATAGGTGTATAAAATCAAGCATCTAGGCATGCAGACTGCTTCCACAAACATTTGTGAAAGAATGGGTCGCTCTCAGGAGCTCAGTGAATTCAAGTTTGGCAACGTGATAGATTGCCACCTGTGCAATAAGTTTATCTGTGAAATTTTCTTGCTACTAAATATTCTACGGTCAAATGTTAGTGGTATTATAACAAAGTGGAAGCAAATGGGAACAACAGCAACTCGGCCACGAAGTGGTAGGCTATGTAAAATGACAGAGCGGGGTCAGCACATGCTGACGCGTACAGTGCGCAGAAGACGCCAACTGTCTGCAGAGTCAATAGCTAAAGACCTCCAAACTTTGTGTGGCCTTCAGATTAGCATAACAGTGTGCAGAGAGCTTCATGGAATGTGTTTCCATGGCCGAGCAGCTGCATCCAAGCCTTACTTTACCAAATGCAACGCAAAGCGTCAGATGCAGTGGTGTAAAACACGCCCCAACTGGACTCTAGAGAAGTGAAGACGTGTTCTTTGGAGTGACGAATCGCGCTTCTCTCTGGCAATCCGATCGTTGTGTCTGGGTTTGGCGGTTGCCAGGAGCACGGTACATGCCTGACTGCATTGTGCCAAGTGTAATGTTTGGAGGGGGGATTATGTTGTGGTTTTGTTTTTCAGGGGTTGGGCTTGGCCCCGTAGTTTCAGTGAAGGGAACTCTTAAGGCGTCTGCATGCCAACATTTTGGACAATTTCATGCCCCCAACTTTGTGGGAACAGTCTGGGGATGGCCCCTTCCTGTTCCAACATGACTGCGCACCACTGTACAAAGCAAGGTCCATAAAGACATGGATGAGTGAGTTTCGGGTGGAGGAACTTGACTGGCCTGTACAGAGTCCTGACCTCAACCTGATAGAACACCTTTGGGGTGAATTAGAGCGGAGACGCGAGCCAGGCCTTCTCTGCCGACATCAGTGCCTGACCTCACACAAATGTGCTCCTGGAAGAATGGTCAAACATTCCTATAGACACACTCCTAAACCTTGTGGACAGCCTTCTCAGAAGAGTTGAACCTGTTATAGCTGCAAAGGTTGGGCCAACTCAATATTAAACCCTATAGACTAAGACTGGGATGCCAATAAAGTTCCTGTGCATGTAAAGGCAGGCGTCCCAGTACTTTTGGCAATATAGTGTAAATGTAAGTTGGTTCTGTTCCAAATGGGGAGATTTACAAAAACTGGTGCATACAGAATATGGTGCAGCTGTGCATAGTAACCAATCGGCTTCTAGTTTTTATTGTCATAGTTTAATTGAACAAGCTGAAGTTAGAAACTGGCTACTAGGGACAGGTGCACCAGATTCTGCGTACACCAGTTTTTTTTAAAGAAATCTTCCCCTATATCTTTCTCAAATTAAACATACGTTATAGTAATAAAGTAAAAAATAGCAGTCCAGCATATGTTGCTTAAAGCGATTCTAAAGGGTCATTTTTTTTTTTTTTTTTTTTTAAATAACAGACATGTCTATACTTATCGTGTGCAGTGGTTTGGTACACACCAGCCTGGATCTTCCTCTTCTTAGGTCCCCCGCAGGCTCTCCTGGCTCCTCCTGTCTGTCAGGTGCCCCCACAGCAAGCAGCTTGCTATGGGGGCTCCCACTGCTTCTTGCGTCCATTCACACATGCAGCTGTGGCTTGGCCCCGCCCCCTCTCTCTCTCTCTTTGGCTGACTGGCTGTGATTGACAGCAGCGGGAGCCAATGGCTCCTGCTTGCTGTCTCAGCCAATGGGAAGGCAGAGACCCATGACAGCTGAGACTGTCATTCACATTGCTGGGTCGCAATAAGGCTCAGGTAAGTGTTGAGGGGGCTGGGGGAGCTGCTGCACACAGAAGGTTTTTTACCTTCATGCATAAAATGCATGAAGGTAAAAACCTTCAGCCTTTACAACCATTTTAATGATGTATTAAAAGATGGGACAGCTTTCCATAAGACTGAGTTGTTTTGCAGACATAGGCTGTGTTCTCAGGATGGAACTGTTTTATGCTAGCCGAAATTTAACAATATACAACTTAAAATAATGTATTACCAACAGCGTATGAAAAAAATATCTTAAATGGTTAGTACATTACAATAGCACAGATACAGTACATACGTGGTTACATGTCCTATCACGTGTGTGCGTAAATCAACCAGCACAGGATTAAGATACTCCCTGGGTGGACACAGGGGTAGGAAGAGAATGACTGGGGATAGGGGTCCAAAACAGAAATGTCCCACTCCTGGTTAGAAATATAATTTCCACAGGTAAGTATAGACCAACAATAATACAGCAACCACACAAACGCTATACACATACTCTTTGCAGTCTGTATATTTGCAGGTTCAGGAACTTTCAATTCCAGAACTCTGTAATTACTAATAAACACTGCTGCCAATAATTAGTGCTAGAATAAAAGTTACAGGATATGTACAGGTATGTTGCATCCCAGGTTTATTTAAATGGTCAATTTATGTTTGACTAAAATGCAGGTCCTAATATTGTAATGTCACGGCATTGCTTATACAGAATTTTCACAACACAAAGTTTTTTTTTTTCCCCTCCATTTCAGCAAGCAAAAATAGAAGAAGAATCAACCAAATACAGACAGACCACAGGGGATGCCTCTACATCTGAAGATTCAAGAAAACCAAGAATAAAAAAGAGTGCATACTTCAGTGATGAAGAAGAACTGAGTGACTGAATTACTGTACATTTATTGTGTAAATACTTTTTACTATGTGAAGCTATCATTGTCATTAAATAGGCCTTAAACATGACTAGTCACAGAAAAAGAAATGTTTAAATTTTAGTTGTTTTGCATCCACAGATTCAGGGTTTGTTTAGGTGTTTATTAATGGATTTCACTGTTGTCTGCTTTTTATAGATGATATTGGTATAGTTTTCATTTTTCTAGTGTCATCTATAAAACCCAGTGTTGTATATTCCAAACTCAGAAACAGTAATACAGATTATATTAAAGAGTTTGTACAGTATATCCCAACAAAGAACTTTGCTTATGTTTGGTCTGGTAAATATAATTTTGATAGCATTTTGTTATACCTATTCAGTAAGTACAAAAAAAATACCTGTTGACCCTGCCAGAAATTCAGTGTTGTCTGTCTTCTGCTTCTCAGTCTTATCATCTAAGGGTAACCTCAAAAAGGTTTCTCCTGCGTACTACAAAATACCCCACATATGTTATGGAGATGGGGAGACATCCTGTAGTCTTATCATACTTTAAAAATAATACACTTTATTTTATATAGCACCTTTTAAAGGTAGCTTCTCAAAACGCTTTACAAAGAAAACACCAGAAATACACAGGATAAAATAAAGGCAAAAAAGGAACAATTATATGAAAGCTTGGCTGAAGAAAAAAGTTTTTAGATTTGATTTGAATGAGTTTAGAGATGATGAGTCTGGGATATTTTTGGAAGTGAATTCCAGAGTTTTAGGGCATAGCTGGAGAAGGCTCTGTGTCCCATCAAGTGTAGGTGAGTAGGGGGGACACACGGAAGACCAGAATTTGAGGAACAGAGTTTACGAGGGGGGGGGGGGGGGGGGGTAAATTGATAACATTTCATAGAGATAATGGAGTGCCAAGCCATGGAGGATGTTAATGTCTATGCAAAACCTGAGGGGTAGCCAGTGCAAGGACTCCAGGATAAGGGTAATATGGTCACTTGTACCAGACCTACTCAGGATTCTGGCTGCAGAATTTTGTACATATTGAAGTTGATTAATTATGGATTTAGGTACACCAGCGAGGGCACCAAGGAAAACTGAAGTTTCTCCATATTTACAGTAACTTCACCCGCAGACGAGTAGTGTGTTGTTGGCAAGATGAGCAGGTGAAAAGAAAGGAAAAAAGAAAATCTAATGCAGCCATTACTAAAAATTGATACGCTGAAATATATGAAATTACTATGTGTGCAATAACTTCAGAATGCAGATGTTGCTGTGCATTTCCATGGGGTGCACTGATAGGTGTCCTCCCATCAAATTTCATCATCACTCCAAAATCATATTTTCCCCAATCATCTTCCAGGACATCCACATGAGAGATGATTAGTTCTTCTCTCTACAGGAAACAAGAGCAAAACAGATTAAAATGCCAGCCCCTTGTCCCTCAGTTTAGTCTGTGTTTCTCTCCATCCAGGAGTACATCAAAATGTTGTTGTTTGGTAGGACCTGCCTGGCCATTAGGTCAGTGTTCTTCCAGTCCCAGACTTGCAGTTGCCTGGTTGGAGGCAGGCCAGTGGTGGTTCCATGTTGTTCTGGCCAAGGGTCTGTTCCCCCCCCCCCCCAAAGGGGGTTTAGGAGGTAACTCCTGAAGCCCCCAGCATTTGCCTCTGTATGGATCCTGCAGCTTCTTGATTTCTATTGAGGTCAAGTCTGAAAGATGTTTTCTGTCTCCCTCGTGGATTCAGTATTGATTTGGTGCAAGTCTGTGGGTTGCCATATGGCTTCTTGTATGGCCTGTTGTGCCCTATAATTTTCAGTGTTTTTTTTATTCTTTTGGCTTGTGTTTCCAGTAGAGGGAAGAATCTATCATATCTCATGTGGCTGTTCTGAGAGATTCTTACTAATACTGGTAACAGTAAAGCGAACAGGGAAATTAAATATTATAAAGTGGAGCAGAATAAGCATTTGCCATACTTCTGCCCTCCGTTTTTACATTTGCATGTACCTTTTTCTACCAGTGTTTGCTCCCACGTCTTCACATCCTAGGAGGCTTCAGGACAGTCTCCCTACAGTAAGATGATCATGTCATACTCAGCTGCGCTTCAGTAGGAGGCTGGTTGAGTGATCAGGACGTGACAGCCAACTCTTGTATCCAAGATGGAGGTGTGAAGAAAAAAAAAAACTACAGCAAATAAGGGTGCAAGCAAGACAGCGGTCTTCATGGGCCGGTACATGAAAGTTAGCAGCTACAGTCAGGTCCATAAATATTGGGACATCGACACAATTCTAACATTTTTGGCTCTATATACCACCACAATAGATTTGAAATGAAACAAACAAGATGTGCTTTAACTGCAGACTGTCAGCTTTAATTTGAGGGTATTTACATCCAAATCAGGTGAACGGTGTAGGAATTACAACAGTTTGCATATGTGCCTCCCACTCGTTAAGGGAGCAAAAGTAATGAGACAGAATAATAATCATAAATCAAATTTTCACTTTTTAATACTTGGTTGCAAATCCTTTGGAGTCAATTACAGCTTGAAGTCTGGAACGCATAGACATCACCAGACGCTGGGTTTCATCCCTGGTGATGCTCTGTCAGGCCTCTACTGCAACTGTCTTCAGTTCCTGCTTGTTCTTGGGGCATTTTCCCTTCAGTTTTGTCTTCAGCAAGTGAAATGCATGCTCAATCGGATTCAGGTCAGGTGATTGACTTGGCCATTGCATAACATTCCACTTCTTTCCCTTAAAAACTCTTTGGTTGCTTTTGCAGTATGCTTTGGGTCATTGTCCATCTGCACTGTGAAGCGGCGTCCAAGGAGTTCTGAAGCATTTGGCTGAATACGAGCAGATAATATTGGCCGAAACACTTCAGAATTCATCCTGCTGCTTTTGTCAGCAGTCACATCATCAATAAATACAAGAGAACCAGTTCCATTGGCAGCCATACATGCCCACGCCATGACACTACCACCACCATGCTTCACTGATGAGGTGGTATGCTTAGGATCATGAGCAGTTCCTTTCCTTCTCCATACTCTTCTCTTCCCATCACTCTGGTACAAGTTGATCTTGATCTCATCTGTCCATAGGATGTTGTTCCAGAACTGTGAAGGCTTTTTTAGATGTCGTTTGGCAAACTCTAATCTGGCCTTCCTGTTTTTGAGGCTCACCAATGGTTTGGTGAACCCTCTGTATTCACTCTGGTGAAGTCTTCTCTTGATTGTTGACTTTGACACACATACACCTACCTCCTGGAGAGTGTTCTTGATCTGGCCAACTGTTGTGAAGGGTGTTTTCTTCACCAGGGAAAGAATTCTTCGGTCATCCACCACAGTTGTTTTTCGTGGTCCTCCGGGTCTTTTGGTGTTGCTGAGTTCACCGGTGCGTTTCTTCTTTTTAAGAATGTTCCAAACAGTTGTTTTGACCACGCCTAATGTTTTTGCTATCTCTCTGATGGGTTTGTTTTCTTTTTTCAGCTTAATGATGGCTTGCTTCACTGATAGTGACAACTCTTTGGATCTCATCTTGAGAGTTGACAGCAACAGATTCCAAATGCAAATAGCACACTTGAAATTAACTCTGGACCTTTTATCTGCTCATTGTAATTGGGATAATGAGGGAATAACACACACCTGGCCATGGAACAGTGAGAAGCCAATTGTCCCATTACTTTTGGTCCCTTAACAAGTGGGAGGCACATATGCAAACTGTTGTAATTCCTACATCGTTCACCTGATTTGGATGTAAATACCCTTAAATTAAAGCTGACAGTCTGCAGTTAAAGAACATCTTGTTCGTTTCATTTCAAATCCATTGTGGTGGTGTATAGAGACAGAAATGTTAGAATTGTGTTGATGTCCCAATATTTATGGACCTGACTGTATAATACTTGTAGCTGCTAACCTTTATTTTTGGATAATCAGCTGAAGTTTCTCTTTAACTTATGCTTTTTAAGATTCAGGTATGTACGGAAAGTTATTATAAATATCGTTACACATGCATTGTTGATTGTTTGCCTTTAACCTCCCTAGCGGTCTGATTATTTCCGATTTTTTGTGCTGAAAGCGGTACCATTTTTTTGCATGGAAATATGTAGTTTTTTATTGTAGGCCTGTAATTTTTAGGAATAACTCACTGAAATCTGTACGAACAAGAGTCTAGTAAACATTCCGGATATGAAAAAACTTGAAACACGAAATCATAAATTATAATTTAATAAATAATCATAAAAAATAATAATATAATGTAATAATAAATGTAATTCAATAATATAATCAAACCAAAAACACTGAAATTTGAAATACAGAGGCAAATTCGCACATCGCTGAACAAAGTCGCAAAATCGGTTTCAGTGTCTGATGACGAATTTCCCCACGAATCATTATCACTCAATTCTGCAAGTGTTCTGATTTACTATCGCTGTTCTCTAGCTGGTCTAAAACCGCTTTTGATGTAAAGGGACGCTTTTTGGACACCATGGACTTTTCTAAGTTTCCAGGCAGAAAGAACAGTCAAAATGCAGGCAGGGCACAGGACAAAGCAGTAGGGACAAAATGTATGTGAAATACATTGAAACAGCAATGTTTTACTATGTAATAATCATTTTAAAAAAAAATTAAATTTTTTAAAAATTTCAAATTTGCTGCCGGTTTCCGGCACCCGTACATCCCGACGTCACAGGGACCAAACACGGAAGCCGGATGCTGGCATCAGCCAGAGGAGATGGCCGGGGACGCTGCAGGGACACATTGCGGGAGCGAAGGACAAGGTAAGTGCTGCAGGGACTTTCTGAGCAACGCTGCATGGTAAGCCCGAGTGTAGCTCGGGGTTACCACTCTTGGTACTCAAATTTTACCCTGAGCTACACTCGGGAATACCGCCAGGGAGGTTCAATAATTTTATCCTTTTCTTACTCCATAGAGGATGCTCTATAGGACAGGTTAGGTCAGAATGATGGATTGGGGACTTGATCAAGCAAATAGGGTTAGGGGTTTGGGGACAAAGGGGGGG